ACCATTAATTTAATTACATTGATTATATTATACCAACAAGTTATAACATATTTTACTTACAAGTTCCAATTCGGGAGATAAACATTTCCCATTCCACAGCTCCATAAACTTCATAACAAAAACTCCACATGATGAACTGCAATACAAACTTTTATTAATTAAAATAATTACCTATATAACAATAATTATAGTCTAAACAAGAACTGTATTTTCATAATAATCGCCCCAACTGTATAAAGTAGTTTTCTGATTAAATAAATAATAAATTATTCTTACCTATATGGTTGATGGAGTATTGCCCTTCGTATATTAGCCCGAATTTTTTTAAAATCTTCCTCAAACACAATACCAATAAACTTTTTCAGTTGTACATACCAATAATTTGTAAATGATAAATGTGCACTAATAATACGTGATGTAAACTCAAACTCAATATACATACCAACAATTTTACATAATCCATATATCTATGGGGCCTTCCCAATGAACAAAGGTAATCAACCGTTTTCTTCAGATGGTTTACAACAAACAGTAACCAATGGCCCTCTATGCATGAAGGGACAAATAAGGTAAGTATGGAGTTAATGAATACTAAAAGTAAGGTTTACAGAATTATGGAGTAAACAATATAAAAACACACTAATCAATTTCGCAGCATCCACATCAAGTAGAAAACAAAATTCACCATTCTTCTTCAATTTTTCCCACACTTGGTATATGGCTCTACTACTGAAGTAGTACTTCTCTCCTACAGATCCTTGCTCGTTATTTAAAATATTCCCAAAGTAATTTATAACCTTTAAAAAATTACAGAATTTTTAGATATATGAAAATTTAATTCAATTAACATGAATACATATGTATAAACAATGTACAAAGTTAATTTAACTCACATCATCGAACGCCCAGTTATCAGCGAAGACACTATGAATCTCATGGCGAGACACGGTATTACTGTATATGGAAATAATTATTTCACTGACACAATGAGTAACAAGGCTTAAGAATTAAGTATCATACTCATGCAATCGATTTTGAACAAATTTTGTAATTAATTGAAGCCTACAAATTGTAATGTAAAAGTGATCAGTGCATTGGAAAACTTACGATTCATCTGCCTCAATATTTGCCACATATGTCAACAACATGTTTTGCTCCGTAGTAAGACTCACAATTTTGTTGCCTTTGTATATATATGGAGAGAAAAAATATTGTCCACCCTTTAATTTCCTCTTTCCTTTTTTAACATTTACATCACTTGTCCCCTCTGCAACATTTCTTAAATCTATATACTCCACATTAATGGCATCAATAACATCATTTAAGGATTTCTTTTGCTCCGGAGTTAGCAACACGTTCTGCCTCAGACCCTCAAATTTTTCACCCTCCGCATCACTGGAATAATGGTCACTTCTTCCATTACTTTTCTCACTCCCATGTTATTCATCTTCAGTATTCTCATAACCACTTTTCTCGTCCACTATTTCATCATCACCACTAGAGTCATCATCATCAGATTCATCATTCGTTGAATAATCAGATATCTCTTCACCTGTTTTGTCAACATGGTTAACATGGTCATCCTTACCATCTCTGCCATCATCTTTAGGTTCCCCGCCAAAACTGTTGTTCTCTTTGTTGTCCCTAGACACTTTTGATTTTTTTCGCATTCACACTTTTTCAATGCAGACAACATTTTCCTTAGACTCCTCTTCGAATTTCTTAGATTTAATTCTGCTAATGCAATGTCAATCTTCACTTTCTTAATGCAAGCCTGCGCATATCTAGTTCAATGGCATCTGTAATTTTAAAAATAAATATTCTGCATACATAAAATGTATTTCACTAAATGATTACCTCCACCTTTGAGTCAAAACATTCATAATCATCATATTCAAAGCTGAAAGAATCAAATGGAGAAGAGGTCAAGCCATCTTCGGCTACGCCATCATTGGCTCTGTTGCTGCTACATTTGTTCGCCTTAAAAGGCATCAACTATTCCCATTCCATATTAAAAAAAACATAAGTCAGACATTACATTAGCATATATATATATATATACACACATATATTGAACATCATAAAATAATATTAATTAATTTTGTTTTTCACTAAATAAAATAAGAACAAAATTTACCCATCCACGCCCAAAACCTCCATTACCAAATTCCCATCTTATGCGTGAACGAAAAATATCTAAGGTCCAAAAATCAATGGCTTTAATATCTCCCTCTAAGTAACCTCAATATTCTGTCTCACAATGCATCATATAAAACAGTTGTTTTCAATTGTAACAAACATAGTATAAATGCCTTATTTTTCAATTTTCAAATATGTACCTCACATAATAAAAATGAAATCTAAAGAAATGACAACCACCATATGACTTTTTCATCTTCCCATTTGTAGGTGGTTTTATAGTTCTTAACAAACAATTACGGGCATAGCCGCATCAGTTGTAAGTACTAACGGCATTCACATTATCAACACTTTTCAACAAGCCCCAGTGGCATTTATTTCTGCCAATAGGACTTAGTAAAGTAAAGCAAGCAAAGAGGACAAATGCTCTCTTGAATTCATCATTTGCCTTTAATTTTAAAACCTGCTCAAACAATAAATCATCATGCATTCTGCCTTTTTCGTTATAACCAGCTTCATCTATCCACTCGGCATCATAAAAGTGGACATGTGTGGACACTTTAGGAACCCCAAATGGTATGTCAAGGATGGAGTGGACATCAGCTGAAAGTATGGACATATACCCTATGTCCTCAACTCTTATACGATAATTATCGGCCTCATAATTGTTTATCAAATACGTGCATAAGTCATGAGACAAATATGAACATTTAAACTTCAACAATTTTTCAAAAACCAATCTCCTCAACATCTTTTCTCTTTTCTTCATTAAGCTGTGAAATTATTTCAAGAAACTTCGATACCAAGCATCTGTGCCACACACCTTTGTGAGCAATTTTTTTTTTTTTTTTCCTTTTTCTTCTACTTCAAGCCATACCATAACAAAACAACATGCATAGGCTATGTTATAGGTTAGGTCATAAAAAATAATTAGAACGAAATATAATTACCTTATGTTTTATTGGAGCTTTTTTTTCTTCAAGAATGTTGACATGCTCTTCCTTTAGTCTTTTCCTTTCCCTTATTCATGGTTTTTCTCAGTAGCAGACATTGAATTCCACGTAATTCTGGCACGTTTGTGTACTGAATTCATTAAGGGCTTAGCTATCCTTTTGGGTTTTCAGTTTTGTTTCTGGAACTTCGCTATAAAGTCAAACCTTTTATCATAATAAATAAATTATTATCAACTTTTTAAAGGACTCAATAGTTATTAAATGCATATTGCATCAACAAATTTCCCTATCACGTAACAATTATACAATTGGACAGCTTAATTTTTCATTTCATATTTCTATAAATAAGAATCACAAATTCTTTCAACATGTGTATAGTATGAATTGCATAGTGCATTAACAAATCTTCCTAACCCGTAACAATTCTATTGTTGGACAGCTAAATTTTATAAATAAGTTTCACAAGTTGGAAACCATGTACCATGTATTAATTGCATATTACATTACATCAGAATATTTTGATAACACGTAGCGAAAATATATAATTCTTATTTCAATAAATAAGATCCATAACTTGTTTCAACATGTATCTACTAAGAATTGCATTTTGCGTCATCAAATATCCTATTTTACAATGTGAAATTTAAAAATATTTAAATTTTAATATATATTTTTATACAACCTATTTAATCAATTAATTTTTATAAAATCAATCAATTTTTATAAAACCTAAATTAATATAAATTAATTTGAAAAGCATAATAAATATTTACTTATACATGAAAAACACTATGGGAGGCGGTTTAACCAAATCCTGCTCACCACCTGAAACATCTTCCTTCTTCATTGTTTTAGGTACCCAATTCCTTCCCACTTTCTTCTTCGCTGCAGTTTTTTTCCTAACCATTCTATTTTTCCAAATGTATAAAACCCTCGTAAAACCAGAGGAATAATGTAGCACTTTTGATGGAATAAGATGAAATAACAAGAAGAACTACTATTAAACATACCAAAGGGAAGATGTCGAAGGTAGATATGATACCCGGCTCGGAGGGGAAACCAGAAGAACCAAAGGACGAAGGATGAAGGAAGACGAACAGGAGAAGCTGAAGGAGGACGAAGAGAACAGAAGCTAAAGAAGTTAAAAAGAGTTTTGTTTTTTATTTTACCAAAGGGGAATTGGTTCCCACCTGAGTCACACTAATAAGTGAATAAAATAATATTTTATACCACTTGTGTATATGATATTTGTACATGGTAAAACAAAATTGAGTTCAATAACTTTGTTACTTAAGTTGCTGAGTCAGCGCTTAGTAGGCAATGACAAGGCAAGTGTCGGGGAAGTGGCTTCATCACAGCTGTAGCATCCTCCATGGACAGCCTTCAGTGAGAGGCTCCAGAGAGGCTCCAGGGAGACGATTTTTGCCCCAGCCTACTTGTATCATCCAGCCCAAAAGCTTGACTTGTTAAGTGAAGCTCCCCACCCGCCCTTATAAACCCATGATCCTCCCGATCCGATGTGAAACGAGAACCCTCTAAAGTAGCTTATATGATTGGTTAGGTTTTTGCATGCACACTAAAATCCTTGTAGGTTCACGACTTCACATTTTTTTGATTGATTATTTCCCAATGCAATACAAGAATTGTCACAATTTATCCTGTGAAAAATAGAGCAATTAGAAAAATTCGAGACGCTCCGCTTTGTTCCTACGAAGACTTGAAATCTTAATCTTCTAGTTTGGGAGAGAAAGTATCACTACATTACAACCTTCTAGTAAAATTCGAGACACTCACATTGTCCTTACGGAAACTTGAAATTCCGGCCTTCTACTCTTGTGAAACATAGCATTTGGCCCATGCGATGGTTCTGGAATTAGTAATCATGGCAACTAGACTGCCAAAGTGGGATTAAAATAAATAAATAAACTAATATTAGAATTAAGCAGATTAAATAGAAATTTTGGGATATGAAAGTGTACACATTTCGAGCTCGAAGACAAAATAACAGTCCATTACAACTATTTTCAAACTAGCAAAAATGCCATCTCCTATTCCTTTTTCCCAAAACCATCGACTAAATTCACTATGATAAAACAACACGAGAACTGTGAGTTCCTACAATACATATATATACATATATAAGTGTATTTCGTTAAATCACAAAAAAATTGTTCTTCCGGAAAAAGGACTTGAGCTTCTCCACTTCCCTCAACAGTGAGGAATTTCCTTCACAAGCATCTGTCAATAAGTGGAATCTTTTGTCTATGCAGCATGCCTGCACTGATGAACCCTCCTCCTGTCGGGAATTGTGTTGAATAAAATCCACCATCATTCCCTGTTATTGCATTACACGTACAAGGATGAGTAATAATGTATTTCAAAAACAAGGAGGTAAGAAGAAAGGACAATATACCACAAAATCATTTTTATGCATATCGCTGCTAGCCACTAATCATCACAAGCCTTCCTACCCCTCTTGGCCCAATCTTTCTTTTCTTCTTTTCTTTTCTTTTTTTTATTTATATATAAGTAGCCTAATCATATATATATAACCAATATGAGTGAAACTTCCCAATGAAAGAAGAAGTTGGTGAGGCAGCATCAGCCAATAGCTTTGACAACTATTCCTTCGGAGCCATAAATGACATTGGCATGTTCCAAATGATTTTTTTTTCTTCTTTGAGCACCCCATAATCCACCACCAGGCGCATGCAATCCCTCCATCCCACATGCACCGGGCAATTACAAGAAAAATTCCATGGGGGTGGCCCCAAGGGGATTTCAACTTCCAACCTCCAGGATGTGAGGTGAGAATCTTTGCCATTAACCCCTTGGGGTTGCATGTCCCAAAGGATTCAAAACTAAAAAATGTGGTCCACAAGATACTGGAACTTCATATATGGGAGTGTGAAGGTGAGGAGTAAATAATTATGTGCGCGCTTATATACAACATAAGCATGATCATTAGATAATAAAGTGGAGGAAGATTATTTAAATTATCCAGCTAGGAGAAGAAATAATTGAGCTGATAGTCAATGGAGGCCCAGTGGGTTGTTTTAGTGGCAGAAAAAAGAAAGATGGGTGCTCCAGCACCCCAATATTGAAATATATGGGGACTTCAGTGGCTTTATGAAGTTCTGACACAAGCCTCGAGGACAGTAAGAGCAACATTTTTATCAAACGCTGGTAAGTCAAAATATAAAAATGGAAGTTGTAGGATATGGACTGAAGAGGAAAGGTTTTTTTTTTATCGGGATGTGTTGAGGGATCATAACCTGCCATATGTCTTCCTCTAAGAGGGAAAGGAGGGGGGATTTCTAGTGGTTTTTATGACCTTGGTGGAATTAATACTGAAGGTAGGGAGTATTTGGGTGTGGCAAGAAACAGACAGTGTCTAGAGAAGCCATTGTTAGTTGAAAATTCGTTGTCAGTGGATAATGTGGCTTGCTTGGAAGGCTCATGTTCCTTGGGAGTTGTTTGACTGATACACGTTGAAGAAATAGACACAAGATTCCCGGATTAAGCTTAGCTAGGTTTAGTGACTGGGTAAATAGAAAATGGGGAACTTCTCCAGGGTGTTTGCTGTGGACTTGAATGGCACTTAATTTCTGAGTTACTTCAAAAAGGAAGCCAAGAGAGATACGTTTTCAGGAGGAGGCATAGTTGTTAAAGGCTCAAGGCGCACAAAAGCGCAAAGGCCTCCTGGAGCCTGAGGCGCAAGGCGCAAGGCGAGGCGCACGCCCGACTGAAGCAAGGCGCACGTTAAAAAAAAAAAAAAAAAACCTATATATAAAGATGCAAAAGTCAACTAAATCAATTACTTAAGTTGAATATTCAACATAAAGATGCCAAAGCCAACTAAATCAAGTATTTGAGTTCAACAGTAAATAATTAAACATAATAATATAAAGATGCAAAAGTCAACTAATGAGAATTATGAGATAAAACTAAAACAAACATAGACAATAAAATACTAGGCATCTTTTAAAGTACAAACTACATTCAAATTCAAGATAACAAAATAAATTCATGTCAATTATTGGTGTTGTAACAAAATAAACCAGATTTCAATTAACAAAACCAGATTTCATGTCAATTAGCAAAACCAGATTTCAATTTCAAAGCAATATTAACATTTCAATTAAAAAAAAATACAGAGATGCAGTCCAGTTCCAAACTTCCAGTTCAGTTCATAAAAAAAGAAAAGAAGACAGAGAGTTGCAGTCCAGTTCCAAACTTCCAGTTCAATTCATTAAAAAAAAAAAAAAAAAAAAAAAAAAAAAAAAAGAGGGAAAAGAAGACACAGAGCTGCAGTCCAGTTCCAAACTTACTGTCCAGTTCAAAAGAGAAAAGAAACGAAGACACATATTTCATAAAAAAAAAAAAAATTAAAAAAAAAAACTGTGCACAGAGAAAGTTTGCCATAAAGAAAAAGAAGAAGAAGAAGAAGAATCTGCTGAAGAAGAGAGAAGAATCTGCCGAAGAAGAGAGAAAAAAAGAGAGAAGAAAAAAAGAGAAGAGAAAAAAAGAGAGAAGAAAAAAAGAGAAAAAAAGAGAGAAGAAGAAGAAGAAGAAGAAGAAGAATCTGCAGAAGAAGAAGAAGAAGAATCTGCCGAAGAAGAGAGAAAAAAAGAGAGAAGAAAAAAAGAGAGAAGAAGAAGAAGAAGAAGAGAGAAAAAAAGAGAGAAGAAACTGCAGAAGAAGAGAGAAGAATCTGCCGAAGAGAGAGAAAAGAAGAGAGAAGAAGGAGAGAACAGTAACTTACCTGGATTCGGATTGTGATTCGTGAGAGAAAGTCGGCAGATTCAGATCTTGTCTTTGCTTCAAGCCTTCAAATCGCAAGCCTCTGTCTTTCTCTTTGCTTCAAAGTTTCTCAGCCCTAGCCGACTCACTTCACTTTTGCACTTTCCTTTTGCGTTTATTTATTCTTTTATTTTAGTAAAGTTGTCTAAAAAGTATAATAAACAAATAATAAATAATAAACAAACAGCAAATAATAACAAAATACTAACAAATTAAAGGAGGCGCGCCTTTTTTACGCCCGGGGCCTCTCGCCTCTTATGTAAAGGCGCACGCCTGTTCAAAGGGCATCGCCTTATGCATACAAAGGCGCAGGACTTGCGCCTGTAGGCGCCTTGCGCCTGTAGGCGCCTTGCGCCTCGCGCCTTCGGCGCTTTTGACAACTATGGGAGGAGGGTGTTTCCTCCAAAGATTCTTTGGGTGTCATGTGATGTCCCATGTAATTGTGAGTAATTGATGTCAAGTGATGTCCCATGTAGTAGTGAGTACTATCTTTGGGTTTGAATGGCACGTGGGTTTGAATGGCACAAACAGGCAGAGCAATGAAGACTATGCTAAAGGAATGGAAAGCTAATGTGTTAGTCTATAAGAAAACAAAACGAAAGTGGGAAGTGTCTCCGAGTACGTTGGTTGGTAGAGTGGAAAAAATATAGTGACTATAGGTACAGCTGAATAGGTTTGCAACTTGGAAGAGCCAAATGAACCCAACTTTTAATCAATTTGAGCAACCATTTTTTAAATTAGAGTTGGGCTTGGCTGAAAAAGCCAACCTGAAGTTAATTTGGTTTGGGCACAACAATAAATTAATATATAATTTATTGTACATTAATTCATTGGAGAATTTAATTATAACTTCATATAAATTTATTATATTTTTATATTCAGTTTTGAGAAATAAATAAATAAATTATGCGTAATGGTGAACCCAATTTGAGGCTAACCCCAGAGCAAACGAATTTTTCAGCCTGGCTTTCTAATGTGACCCCAAAATTTGGATTTAGTATGGGCTCTGGATGGAGAGCCTGAATTAAGGTTGGGCTTTGTAGAAGGTTTACACCTTGGCTTGGGCATGGATTAACCCGTCAATCCCCCAACTAACCCGAGTTGCACGTCTACAGCTAAGAGCTTAAACCATTCCTTAGTGCAATGGTAAAAACATAGATTGACAAGTTCGATTTTTAGACTAGTCACTTTGTGCAATATAATGTCAAAGGTCAGGTTTTTCTCCATTTTTTCCCCATTGGCAGTGATTAACTATTTTTGTTTGTGTGAGCCAGCTTGGTGATCTTGGTTATGTGGGATTCTAGGGTCATGTCAAGAGTGGACTTTTTGGTGGAGAGTTTATTCTGTCATGTTATGGATGGTTGAGGATTCTTCCAATGGTGGATATTTTCTAGAGTATATGTTGCAGTGGAGGACGGGATGAGTTGCCAGTTATGGCAAAGCCAACCGATGTGATGTGAGAGTGAGATGGTGCTACCCTTGGTGCATTAGGAAAGACTTTAACATTGTCCAATTTTTGTGTGAAATATTGGGATCCACCCGTATCCATATATGAGTCCAGATCTGACCCAACTCAATTCTAAGAAATCCATCCCTGTTTGGATAAATGTTCAGTACCAGCCCAGTTTCAGAATCCAGGCCCAGCACCCAGCAGTCCAGTACCTAAAGATTAACCAAATTACTCATTTACACAGTCCTACCCATTGTTTTGGCTCGTAAATCAAGTGTCACAATCATGTCCAGTTCTCTAAACTCAACTCAACAAAGGTTATAACCTATTTATACATTCGTTACATCATCAATCCTATTTATACATTCTGCTCTATCCAAGGTTATAACCTTACTAAACCACAATTTTTTTTTTTTTAATAAGTAAAGGTTCATTAAAGGCGCTCAAAAGTGAACCGAACCCAAAAGAAAACACAAGCCACGACGCTATAACTTTAAACTATCCAAAAAATTCGAAAGACCATCCGCAGATATGCAATTCTGCCCATTCACCCAAAAGAATAAAGAAGTCAATATTTGTATTTGAGAAACCAAATAGGAGACTCCTCCCCATTGAAGGATCTCCTATTTCTCTCACGCCACAGCCCCCACCATAAACATAGAGGAGTGGCCTTCCAAGCATCTCGCACTTGGCTCTCCACTATACACCATTGCCAAGCCTCAAGCAAATCAACCGTTGACTCGGGACACACCCAAGCCAATCCAAAAGCAACCAAGAACATATCCCAAATATCCCTCGCCACAGGGCAGTGAAGCAAAAGACGGTTCAGAGACTCCCCTGACTTCTTACACATACAACACCAGCTCACCACAACCTGAAGTCTCCTTCTGAGGTTATCACAAGAGAGGATGCTTCCAAGAGCAGCGGTCCATGCAAAGAAAGCCACCTTCAAAGGTGCTTTCGTCCTCCAAATAGCTCTCCAAGGAAAGGGTTGGCTAGGGGTCTCCATCAGACTCTGGTAAAAAGATCTAATCTCAAACACCCCTCTCGAGGAAACCTCCCACGCCATCTCATCCATGACA